AAGTCCCCCCCCCCCCCCCCCTTATCTCAAGGTCTGGAACCGCCAATGTGTTATACACTTAGAACAAAGATAACAGACTATGAATACGTTGGCAATTTATCCTAGTGGCAATGTCATACAACTTAACTAAAGTAGCTTACCTTTACATGAATTTTTACTGCTACAAAATCTTTGCCATCAAAACTTCGTGGTAATGGATTTCCAACCATCAAAAGATAAGTAGTTCTGCCGTTGGCAGTATTCAAACTATTTTGATTTGTTTGGCAAACCCACAACTGGCTTTGCCCCAAATTGATCAGGAAAAATTCAACACTGGCATATATGATTACATAAAATCTGGGCAGGGCTTCCAATTGATGGTTGAAGCAAATTTCCCTGGCACAGGTGTAATCCGCAAACCTTGAACACTTCCTGAAACCTGTATTGTTGTTTTTCCAGGGATAAAGAGCATTAATTTTTGTTTCTTTTATTACTAAACAAAGCTTTTTATTGACCTTTGAAAGTACCATAGATTGTTCAGCATTTATTTTTACAATGAACTTTTGCTTATTTCTTCCTCCTCTTGTTTTCTTTTGAAAACAGCTTTTGGGAAGCTTTTTAGTGTTACACTTGCTTTATAACCAATCAGAAGTTTTGGTCAGATCTGGGCAGATTTTACATCATCAATATGGTATTATTTTTGCTGTTGTTCCTCAGGCGCCAATTCCACGCGAAACTACTGTAGTAGTGGTGAGCACTGCGAATTCTTGACTGTTTTTTAAGCTATAAAAAGAAAGAACATTTTAACTTGCTTTTCTGCTGCGTGCTATACTTTCTAGGACATGTGGCAGGATGTTCTTGATCATGTGGTAGGAGAACATGAATGGAGTGATGGCCACTTCATACGGGCAATGCTCTCACAGTCCACTCGTATTATCTGATACTGACAAACCACTTCTTGGAAAAGGGTCCAAGGCAATAGAAGCCCTAATAAAGGTCATATGGGACAAGAGATGGCTAGAAAGTTTGGTCTTTTATGTTTGGTTCAAGTATAAGCAAATTTTTTTCTACAAGTGGCAAAATTTATGAATTTAGTATTCCTTTGCTAGTTCCATAAAAGCCCACAAATAGGGAAACAGCTTTTAGATTTACATATAAAATAATTTTGTAGCCTATTCCAGACCTGTACGCGAGCATGTACCAACACTTAACATGCTGATACTAATACAGTTTTTAAACATTTTTCACATAGATATTTACATAGAATTTATTAAACATTGATGGGAACTAAATTGTGCGATATTTTTTATTGTAGGCTTACCAGTTTGCTTGAAAACTTCAACAGCAAGATGCTTAAGTATGCCCCAAAAAGATCGAAATGCCTTTGAGTAAAGTATCTACTTTTTTTTACCAAGGATCTTGCAGTCATTCATCCTAGTTACTGTTGTACTAATTTTACCTGGTTTTGCTTGCTTAGATATATACAGAAGAGAAAGTTTTATTTTTATTTCATAGCTTTTTGTGCCCAGGTGCTCCTTGCTGCTCTTGACTATAACATTCACAGCTATAGACCACAAGCCACCACCAAAAGTGGTCACCTAATCTTCAAGAAGCGGTATTCAAAGAGAACTAAGCGTTGGCACCCAGAACCTGTTAGGGCTGAAAAAACCTATGACTACATCCAGTTCCTGATGGCCAGCATCCTAAAGGCAAGAGTGGATGACGAGGAAAGTGCTGCAAGGGTAATATTTTTCTTCCATCAGATCACCCAAGGAATCTGGCCCCAACCATTGGCTTGCGAGAAAGCCCAGCACTGATTTAGCCAAGGATTATAGAAGCAGATTTGGTTCCAAAAAAGAGTGAGGATTCAGTGAAACCAGTTTACTGGGTGCTGATCAGAGATCCAGCATGTTCTTTTTATCATTGTTGAAGGAACTCGCTACAGACATACAGTCACCGGAACAGTTTGATTCTGCAGCTGCCCAAAACAATTTAAATCGAAATTTTTTCATTATATTATTATTAAAAATTACTATTACTCATTGGTTGATGCATGCCGTTACTATGAAATTAGAGTCACTCAGGAACTCACTACAGACATACATAATTATAGTCACTAGAACAGTTTGATTCTACTGCCCCAAAAAATTTAAATCAAAATTTATTCATTATATTGTTGTTAAAAATTACTATTATTCATTGGTTGATGCATGCTGTTGCCATGAAATGAGAGTCACTTCATAAAAAGAATATTTCTGAAGTTTTAATTTCCTTGTGGGGGCAAAATCTACTTTTTATTCTTCTAATGAATGCTATGTTCATTGCTGAAATAATATATAGATTTAGCCAGGGCTAAAAGCGAAGCTCTTGTTAATAAAAGTTGTAAACAAAAAAAATTAAATCGTGTAATGCTAAACGGAGAGGCCAATGGAAATGGCATCAATAGATCTAATTAGCAAAAAAACAAATTGCACGTGCAGCACACTTTTTTTTCTAATTAGCAAAACAACAAAATTTGCACGTGCAGCACGCTTTTCGTCCTTCTTTGCCGTTGTTTTGCACAACTACAACGCTGTTTTGTAGGACTAAACGTCAAACTTCCTAGTTGCACATTATTTTTAAGGAGGAATTCTTACCCAATATTTTGTCTCCTGTGTTGATGTTCGCTTTTATTTTTCACTGCCGCGCTCAGTTTCACCTTGCTGGCCATTAGCATTTCTCATGGTCTCACAGCCGCTTTGAATTTTCATGTTTTTCTTCCTACAAGAAACTAGCTCTAGCTCAGTTTCTCTGTTATCCACGTGAGTGTAAACATCAAAAATAACGTTGAAAAAGACACCACTTTATTGTTGTTTTTTCTTTCTAAAAGTCCGGGCGGCCATGCGATTTCTTTCCAAATAAAACCTTCAGTTGCATTTGGGTTGCCTTACCTGTTAATTGAATTATTTTACATTGGTATGTTTGTGGTGCGGACGGACGGTCGGGCGGGCGGTCGGTGTACGGTCACGTGATTACCAAATTTTCTCGGATGGGTAGTTTACCACATTTCTTTACCCATGGTGCTCCGCTGCGCGCTTCGCGCGCGAGAGCTCCGCTATTATTTACACTGTATTTCAATGAAATGTTTTGACACTAAAGTGAATAGAATATTTCTCAGTCAGAGACTCATGGGCAGAATTGAACAATTAACTATATTGTACCCTATCCAATGCAATGCAATGGTTTTTATTGTGAAAGGAAAGCTTGAGGTATTAACATATTTTGTGTTCCTAGCCATGGTTAT